GGCGGTAACCATACTGGTGGTCAAGTAGATCATGTTGTGCGGGGTGGAGAACCCTCACTCCGCGCAAAGGGCGATGATCGCACCACGTTGTCTAAAAATGGTCAAGCACCTTCGAGGCAGTTANCTCACGGCGCTTCGCGCTTGGTGATGTGAGAGCCTGGTCCGGTGAGAACCCGGCGTGCTCCGTCCCGGCTTTGTAGGGATGCGAGGTCAATGGTCTAACGACTACGGCATGCACGACTATGACTATGAGTACACTGCTGACTAATCCACCGTTCACACCTCGCAAAGTTGCTACCCCTGTATCCCCCCCTTGCGCGGTCTTTTTTACCATTCCACTAATCCCTTCCCCCATCTGCTTGACGTTCCCCTCGAGGCCTCCGTTGGCCTTCTGCACTATTCTTGTTCATCTTTTTCACTATTTAGTCCCATTCCACACCCTGTTCAACTATCAAATGGAAATACAACTATTATTTGAGTGTAATCAACTATTACGGGTATTTGCCTGCAAATAAACAGAGTTGCACAGGGTTTTCAAGAGGTAGTTGCTCGGAACCAAATAGTTGCGCAGCTTTTCTGAAAAGTAGTTGACTGTAATCAAATAATTGCTCAGCCTTTCGAAACAGTAGTTGACTGGAATCAAACATTTGCTAAACATTTCTGGAAAGTAGTTGATTGCTATCAAATAGTTGCTCATCTTGTCAAAACAATAGTTGATTGGAACCAAATAGTCGCTATTTAGCGGGCAACTAAAATTGTGAGAGCGGAGATACTTGAGTACCGTTGGATTTGACCGCTTCAGCCTGGTACAGCAAGCAGTTGTCAGAGTTGGTCAGTTGAAACCAGTCACCTCCAAGATCCAGCCCACGTACCCACGGCACGGGCCACACACACGTACACACACGGACTGGTGATGGACGTAATGTAATATATAGTGAGGCAAAACTTAATGTTTTTTTTGTCGCTTCGATTGACTTATCTTGTTGATTTACGTCTCGATGACGGTGGCTCAGATACATGCACGCACTATTGATTCGAGGATGCACGTTTCCGGAACCAATCTTGATCTTCCATCCAATGACATCAGGCTGGGCTCCCCCCGATCCCCCGCCCCCTCACTTTCAAGCACAAAATGTTCAAAATAGTTGTCAGGACAAATATAAGTAGTTGACAAAGAGTTGCCTCCGGGAGTAGTTGAGTGGGACCAATATTAATAGTTGCGCAGTTTTTCAAGAGAGCATTTGACAGGAACCAAATATTTGCGCAGCTTTTCAAAACAGGAATTGACTGGAACCAAATATTTCGCTCAGCACTTCTGAAAAGTAGTTGACTGCAATCAAATAGTTGCTCAGCTTTTCGGAACAGTAGTTGACTGGAACCAAAGTGTTATTCAACATTTCAGGAAAATAGTTGACTGCAATAAAACAGTTGCTCAGCTTTTCAAAACAATAGTTGACTGGAACCAAATAGTTGCGCAGCTTTTCAGGAAAGTAGTTGATTCCCAATCAACTACCAAGTACTGCATTTGTACGGTGTGGTCCCTTCACCTGTTTTCTTTTGGCCCTGTACTTTTCCCAACTCTCCTCAGACCCCTCACTCAGGTACTACTTGAAGACTTCTATACGTTCCCCTATTTCTTCGTTCAGCTCGTCATCCCATCACTTATCCGATGCCCCCACAGCGTTCAACCTTCTTTCCCACTACCCTCTCACTATGGACTCCCACCCTTCAATCACCCTGTCCCCTGCCGCTTGTACGTTTACCTGTCCGTCTTTGACGCTTCTCAGCAGTTTCCTGGAGGGTTCTACACTACCACTCAGTCCCTCCTGGAATTCATCCCGTGTCCCCTCCTCTCCCAAATGCTCTACTTTCCACCGGAACACTTTCCTCTGTTTCTTACTCTCTATCTTTCTAGATCGGTCGATGTTTGCCCATATGAGGAAGTGGTCGGTCGAACCTATACCTTTCGCACCTACGTGCAGCTCTGGGATCTGCGTGCTCCCCCTATCTACCAGGATGTAGTCGAGGATCGAGTATTCATTGCAAACTGCCCTTTGCCTAGTGATCTCCGCGCGCGGGGGGGACGAATACAACACAACACAAAACTGATTTTTCTTTTAGGGGACGGCTTTCTCTGGGCGTGGCGGCACGTGCCACACACACTTCCGCCGGCGACAAACAAGAAGAAAAGACGGAAGCGCGTTCGATTTCCTCCAAAGAACGGGGGTCCGGTTTTTGACCGCAAACAGAGGGGGAAGCGCTAACAGGGTAAGGTCTTGCCCGGGGGCGGCAGCTGGTCGAACGTCAGGGATGAGCAGCAACGTGTGTATCTACACACGGGGGGGCAATTTTTGACCGTCCCCTCTTTAGTCACCGTCTGCCCCGCACTTTCTTGGTGGCAAGTTCACGCCGGACCTTTTGGCCACAAGGTTTCAAACCCTCCATATACCGTAGACTCCTTAAAAATATATTGGGAGATCTGGGAGATTTCCGTGCCAACCGACGTCAACCAAACCTCAGTCGTGGTGGCAATACGGCATGTCGCGTAAGATATCATCCCCTCTTGGAGGACCGATTCTCAAAGCTCGGTTTACCGCTCCACGATGCCACGATCATGTGACACGTTGTCTTGACGGTTTCAACAACGCCCGAGCGAGCTTGAAATTAGGCCCAGGGAGTGAAGTCGAATCTTACGCAATCTACAGCAGTAATCCCCTCTCCACGGCGCTCGCGTGCAAGTTGGACATCGCCATGGGGACGGCGATGTATCTCGGCGACGAGATTCATACGCGGCGCAGGGGGCGGCCGAGACGGATTTTGCGGGAAACTGAAGTCCCCATTAAAAAAAGTACGTCGACCGCTAAATAGAACAGCTGGCAGACTACGAGAGAAAATAGACAAAATACATGTATTGTAGGAGGGCACACGTTCGCTGTGTTTGTAGCTTGCCCTCGATTGGCCAAGGAACTGCTCAAGGTGCTGCCTAAACGGGCTGGGACACCCGAAAGTTGTCACATGGTAACGCCACGCCGTCAAGCCATCTATTCAACAGACACCTTAACTTTACCTTCTGCGGGCCAAAAAATGCGACTTCGTTTGTAGGTCCGCGTTTCTTCAACAACTGCTGTCGACAGTAATCTTGTAGAAGAGGTGGTACATTTTGTCTAGGCTACGACTTTGACGTCAGTCGTTGGGGAGAGTGAACGAGAGGACTACATGTACCGCTGAGCCCTTCTTGGGTGTCACACACAAGGACGGCGTGTGCAAAGGGGGGCATATTTTTGTGAGACCGACCACCGCCGCGGGTTGGCGCTACTTCTAGCTGTATCTAGACTAAATAATGCTTGCGAGGGAGTAGGGCCGAACAGGGCAGGTGGTAGCCTACGGGACGGCATGGGGCAAACAAGAAAAAAAGAGGCGACCAACATGCATGCAACTAAATAATGCTTGCGAGGGAGTAGGGCCGAATAGGGCAGGTGGTAGCCTACGGGACGGCATGGGGCAAACAAGAAAAAAAAGAGGCGACCAACATGCATGCAACGCTCGCGGCGGACTGTTTCGTGGGGCAAGGGCGGCTTGTGGGGCAAGGGCAGCTTGTTCGTCAAGGGAACGAAATCGATTCTTGTTGCAGTTGCGTTGGAGACGATGGAAAGTCCCACCTCTCAACTGGCCGCCGCCGCCGCCGCTCCATGATGAGAAAGGCCAAGCACGTCCAAATAATCCAAGTATCAGCGGATGGAGGGCGACCGCTGCTGCGCGAGTGCTATACCCATCGGCAACTAACCCGCTATTTGTAGGGGGTGTCACGTGAGGGGAGCAAGCCAAGGTTCCAACATCTGCACGGCAGTTACCCCGCTGCTGGGTGTGACAAAAAAAGTCTCAGTCCCCCGACAACCCTCTCTAGACTCTCAACGTCCGCATTCATTCATTCTCTCAAACGGCTGGCCTGTCCACGGATGAGTCCGTCTGTTCAAACTACAATTTCCCAGCTCAAGTAGGAAGGAGACGGGAAACACAAGAGAGCAAGCCCCTCAAGATAGGGCAGGCCCCTTGAAGATGAACGGGCGCATATCCTTGGGCTTCATGGCGTCCCTCTGGACTAGAGCCAGCTGCTTTTCAAAACAAATTTACAGCCACGTTCCTAGGTTGCTGCTTGCGTTAGACCTGCACTACGCCACACTACCGTGTCATCGAGCAACCCCGCTGGCTTGCCCAAATCACTGCCTCCGAATGAAGCCCGCTTCCCGCCCTGACTGCTGTTGTTGAGGGCGGTGCTACAAATTCAAAAAGCAGGCGGGGGTGATGATGCTGCGTGTGTGCGATATTCAAAAGCCTATGATGGGCAGTGGAAAACGGCGCGCGCTCAAACCGCTCACCTTTTTTCTATTTTGGTTGACGCACGACACGCGCTACCATTCTTCCGATTCGTACCTTCGAAGGTAAACACTCTAGCGCGAACAGGGCATCTTGTGCAGCCATAACGTCTCCTCTCCCACAGCTAGTAGCACGCAGATTCCAGCACAGCTGATGCACGTTCGGGGCTCGCCACTTAGCCGGGGGGTTCCGTATGATTGACCATTATCCCAGGGTAACAGTTATTTGGCATTTCGGAGCCCCTCAGGTTCCTCCGCGTTCCACCGCATCTAACAATGGTATATGGTACGACATTATTGTCATGTACCATTGGAATCTAATACTACCGGTTGAATGCTGTACTCGGCCGGGCGGTGCGATGGGCGAACCCCATCTATCTCCGCCGGACGATGTCGGGGCGAGCGCCAGTCGACGAGGGCCGCAGGGGACAGAGACAGGGGCGTTCCTGTTGCATATCGGCAAGCTATCCGTTGCAGGTGAGGAGCGCAACCTTCTGGTTGTCGTGGATGAGTTGCGCAGCTAATATCCACGCCCTCGTGACTCTGTCTGATGCCGAGGAGGCCTGATTCTCTCGTGTGTGATGTCTCGGTTTTCCAGGTTTTTATTTTATCCGACAGCTCGCTCAAAAGTCTCGACTGAAGCCAGACCTGCGGCTGGAAAGAGAGTGACGACATGACAATCTTCAATACTGCATCAATACTTAACGTACCGCTGGAATCGAGTCTACTACACTGACTGTATGCTACCGCTGGAAGTGCGTCTTCCCTGCTGTGTATCCTTTAGTCTACGGACGATAGGTTCGTGAGTGTAGAGATGGTACAGCAGTAGTCTCGATGGATGTGGGTGATGGGGTTGGGTCAGTAGCCTTCGCAGGGTTTTTCGTAGTTCTGTTATGCAAACATGTTGGATAAAGCATGCAATCGGGGAAGTTGGGTTAGGGTTAGGTTAGGTTGGGTTGGGTGTCTATGTACAGCGATGCAACCTGTGTTTTTTTAGAAAGTAATCAGCCGGGGTCACACCACCAAAGAAAGGTACGCTGAAGGTTTTTTGTGCTATTGTGAATAGAGGCCGAAATCAAACCATTTTTGAAAAAGACGACAATCGTGGTGTAATAGTCGGGCTGACTATGTAGTCTACATGTTATGATTGAGCTTCTGGACGACTTAGTTGTGAACGGCTTGAATATGTAACATCACGCTGCTAGTGGAACGATTGTGGTGCTTGTTTCCGCTTGGCGCAACCATGACACCACACCCAGCGTCTTCGCCACCGTGACTGCTGCCCGTGGTGTTACACACAAATATTCCAGATGTAAATGATGTCCCTGAAAATGCAACGTGAAAGTCTACTCAAACAAGGCAGCCGCGTCAGCGTTGATTTGTTGGTTAGATTGGGGCCACAAATCCTCAAAGTCTACGACGAGGGGAGAAAAGAGGTCAACGATACGTATGGAAACATAAGACTCGGTGCATCATTGACGTGTAACTATTACAGCTGCTACTACTACTGGTACTAGTTAAACATACATTCACCGGCCGGGGGCTAGGAGAACGTTGGTGCGCCATGCTACAGGCATTGGCAGTAGAGTGGAGTTGGGTGGACCAGTGGGAAAACACAAAACTCCAGAAGAAGACATCCTGCTGCTCAACGCGTGACCCCCCCTTCCCTCTGTGCGCTTGCAGTTGTGGCGTGCTCAACACGGCTCTCAAGTTTTTCACGACTCACGATCCCATCTTTTATCTACACATACAACCCAGAAGAATCCCCGGACATGTCATGCGATGACATAAATGTCGTGTGAACGGGCGTCCACCAAGCGTCGTAGTGAGGACACTGCCGTTCGTGCCCCCCCGCCTCCCCCTCCTCGTGGTGGTTTGCCACCAGGCACGATAGGGGGACTCGCAGAGTGCATGGCGGCGTACCCGTTAGACACAGTCAAGACGAGGATGCAGACGTCGGAGGCGTCTTCGTCGGGGGGTGCACTCCGGTGTTTCTCAACCGCTATCAGGGAGGACGGGGCGCTGGCCCTGTATCGGTGAGATGGCAGTGCGAGGGGGCGTGGGGAGAGGGGCGTGCTACGAGTGCAGTTGGGTGCATGTGGCGGAAAACGTGCGTAGCCTTCATGCGAACGGTCGTCACCCCTCCCACCGCCTCTCGACTTCTGCATGTGTAAACTCGCCGCCTTTTTTTCAGGTGCTGTGAGGGGTTTTCTCTTCGTTTTGGGGTATGTATGACGAACGGCAAATACTTTGTTCTAGAGTTGTGGGTTGGCAGCGAGCATGACGATTTCGTTGCTTCTGCGTTCGGTTACATATGCATGCATACATACGACATTGACTTTTTTTTTTACAACCTCCCCCGCGGGGCGAATACTCCCGTGCTGGTGGCTGTTCGCCTCCTTAGAGGAATGTCTTCCAGGGTGGTGGCAAGCATGTTAGCGGCTTCGGTGTTGTTCGGCGCAAACGGGACCCTGAAAGAGGTATTCGGCGCTGACTCGAGCCAGGTGACAATACACTATCGAAGATTAGGGCATTGGCTACTAAAGGGCATTCCGCTGCGGGCTTTGACTAGAAATAGTAGTGTGACTGCATGCGCCAAACCGTTGCAGAGGAGTCGTGATTCTGCGGGGCCGTTACAGGGTATCCCCGACGTTGCCAGCGACGGCATTGCGCGGGATGGATCTCAAAAATGTATTTGAAGAGATGAACGCATACATCACGCCTCAAGTACTAAACGCACCACGAGAAACTTCGAGCCTGTTGTTTGTTGGCCATGCATTTCTACAACGTTGAGTTCCGTTCTCCGCCACAACTGTTGTGAAACGTAGCCTGGGCCAGGGCATATCGCTCCGTCCCCGTATTGTAGGGATGCGAGTTCTAAGGTCTAAATACCACGCACGGCATGCTTTCACATCAGTACCCCCCCCCCCCCCCCCCCCCCCCCCCCCCCCCCC